AAGGCACATTCTCAAAGGTGAAGTTTCCCAAAGGCTGAAATATAATTATACAAATTCATTGTCATTTACTTGGCGATCAAAAAGAAAACATCTTGTGAATGTTCAGATATAAAGCAGTTTGGTTCATTCTGATTTCTTGTTTAACTATCTTCCAATTAATCTGAATATTTTTTAAAATCACTTGATAAAATTTCAAAAGAATTTCAAAAAAATATTGGACCCTAGTTTATTGTACATAATAAAATATTTGTTACTCAATGGTCGCATTGTGTGCATACCACTCCAATAATGATCCAGTTAAATCTTCTTAATTTAATGCTGAATGAAAAATGTCACTACTACATTTTTCTTTTCTTTCAATCAATTATCTTCTTAGGCTTTTAGAATTTAAACTCTTTAAGGAACAGATGGTTCTTAATTATTTCCAATAAATAATTAAAAATTAATGATTCAAACAGAGATTTAACATCTGGTACTTTATAATAATTTCAGCACTGAAAGAATTTTTAATGAAGAAAATGTTGAATAATATATCCCATTTGGAAGTGCTCCTTTGAAAAAAAAATTAAAATATCTATGCTTTAAAAATCTGTTATGCAATGCTTCAGACAAATTAATACACATGATCATCATGTAATTATGACATATTTAGCAGAGATTTTTATGATGGACTCACTACTTCAAGGTTTGTACTGTTCTCTAGTTGGTTGCTATGCAGCTGAACTTTATGGTAAACCGCCCCAGGAAACAAGGGAGTGAACCACAGGTGGATCTGGTAGGCATTGTTGTTGAATGTGGTCCATACATGAATCTTTGGCTTCCATGCAAAACCTAATGGTGGAGGATTTTTTTATGTACAATTAATGAGCATTTGATCACGTTGCAGCTAAGTGAAAATTTACGTGAATTCATAAAATAATTGTGCCAGGGCTAGCTTTCATTGTTAATATTCTCCCCATCAGCTGAGCTATTTATAACCAAATATTTACATCCACTGAATATTTTCTCCTTTATTTCTTAAGAAAACCCATTGCGTTAATCACTGCATGAACTACATTAGGCATGTCGCCTGTACAGATTTCTTGATCAGTGGCTGTTCCATCAATGAAACGTATAAAGACGTTCGCATCATTAATACAATAATTCCTTTTAATCCTACTTTAAATGATTATTTAAACAGATATAAGTATAAACAATAAAATGTCTTTCTTTGTTTGTTATTACTGGAATTAACGGTCGCAGCTATTGCAGAAAAAATTTACATAACCTGCGTAAGCGTGTTATATATTTTTTCTGCAACAGCTGCTTCCGTTAATTCCAGTAATAACAATTTTAGAAAGCATTTTATTGTTTAAAAAAAAAGCTGCTGGCATAAAAATTATTTTTTTTTATCTTTTTTTTTTTTTTTTTTTTGGACAAGTGAGGAAAAAAATAACATTTTGAAATTTGTACAAATATTTTCATATTTGAAACATGAAACAGACCCTTAGTAAACTGCAGTACTGCTCTTAAAAAGTACACTTTCGAAGTGCAAAATGATATAGTTTGGTGAAATATGACGTAAAAGTAATTGTTAAATATACATCATTTAATTATCTCTCAACAAAAACTTCGCCAAACATTATTATTTTGCCCTGCAAAAGAGTAGATCTAAGTACCACAGTTACCGTGAAGGGGCTAATAAGGTCTGTCCTCATTTCTATCACACATAAAAAAAATCAATTACTCCTACCCCAATTCACTTACTAATTAGTGCCTTGCTTATAGAAATAATTCTGTGATAATAACCATTAACCTCAAAAGAATCATGATGTAAGTAAAGTCAAAAATATCTCAAACAAACTGGAGCTTAGATAATGAAAACCACGTTTTATGTCTCCCAAAGTACAGACAACTTTTCTTGACCACCCACACATATTTAAAGCAAATCTGCCTTTTTATTCACATTTCAATTTAATGAAGGCCATAAACTCATAGTACACTCCTGTATTAATGAGAATTTCACCAAACCCCTTCCCACAATACCATGAAAAAATAATATACTGCTTCCAGGAAGAATTAACAAATTGAGAAATTGCTCACTTCATTCATCTTAATTTGCTAATGGTAGGTCAAAATACTGAAGAACTCTTATCCTTGGCCTAAGTAAATAAATCTGAATCACTTTGCTTTCTTTAAATATTTTTTTTGCCTTTGTCTGTTTTTCTTTTGTTTGAAGGATTTGCTCTTTAAGTTCTACAGTTGTCATCAGGAGTATCGATATCTCAGATGTCAGTATCTCAAATTCCATGGATATGTCAAATGTGAATTGGTAGTCAAGTTTTAACCTCCCATGCTAGATACATGGGAGATTCAGAACAGATGGTGCTAAGACTTTTGTATTTTATTACCTATTCCTCTATATGTCTAAATTTCTTTTTGTTAAAACCCAAATTTTGATTATCCCATGACCTTTGATTTTGATTTTGACCTACTTTCAAAATCTTTCACAAACATTAACCTTGATCATAATTTTTGAATGAATGGTTTTTGCCTTTTAAACATTACACTTTTCGATCTTTGTAAGTACTAAGGATTTAATATATCACATGTGTAATAACTTGTTATTAGATATTTCTTTGCTACCATTATTATTAACCCCAAGGTCTTGACCTACTTTTGAGAGATTTTAACCTTGACCATGCATAATTTTGGAATGGCTGGTGCTAGAGCTTTCATATTTGACTTATATCCTTTTTTTGTTGCAAGACCTTTCCTTGGATACCAACATTTTTTTTAGCTCAAGACCTTAACATAATGAGCTGCAACATGGGGGCATTCATATTTCATAAACACATCTTGTTTATCTCTAGCCTCCGCTGGGAAAGTGTCCATAAATAAAGAAAATGATTTTATCTGGGTCAGCTGCAGTTGACATGTTCCCTTCACTATACTGCCATAAATTGTACTTATTATACCTGGCACCATGACAATATTCTTGGCAATCCTCTTATGTTCTCGGCTGGGCATAGGGACACTGATGACATACACCATAACCTTGGCCAACTTTGTGGTCTCCACACAGTTAAAGATGAAATCAATATCCTGAAAATATATATTAAAAAGTCACCAGACATTACTTTTTAACTGCTAGCCAAATCTCGGGTTTCCATTCTTCAGAGAGTTAACATTTATATTCTTTCCCAAAGATTTTCCTTTGTAATGCATTGATCACTTTTTTATTCGGCTCTGCAAGAAGGGACCTTGTCTACAACATTTAGCTAAAAGACAAATTGTCTGAGAGGGGAAAAAACAGCTCTTTTTTACACTATAGAGGGTATAAAGAGATTAAGGACTTCTGTCTCCCCCAGACTTAATTCTGTGGTGCTAATTTCCTAGATTCTGTCATTGATTTCCGAGAAATCAGACACCATCAGATATAGCTCCCCGGGGACTTAAAACTGCCTCCAGTTTAACAGCTAGACCAAGCCATCTAAATGCTTTTTTTTACAGTGAGACAGGACACAAATTCAGAGTAATGCTAAAAACATGCTAGACAATTATATATCACTGTAAATACCTAAAATCATATTTCTGATGCCTTATTTTTCGCAAGATAGTAAAATTGCATTTTAAAAAAATACTCGGACTAATTTTTTGTCTGCGTTCTGATTTTTGTTCGATCTATTTTTTATAATACAATTATACACAAATATAATTTTTTTTTAATTTGCTTCCTTGCATCATCTGATACCTACTGGTGATCTCATAAATTCATAGGGAACACTTCCTATATATTGTTATATCTTCATTCTCTTAAAAGACAGGAATTTTGTTTAAAACAATTCAAGATATGTTACTCAGGGCTTTCTCAAAATACTAAATGCATCATCAAGAAAATTGTTTAAATCCCTGTGCACATGTGTTATAACCATGCATAAATCAATTAATTGTCATTGCCAAACATTACATAATTATAGGTAACCTAAACTGTGAATTGTTGATTTACCAATGCTTAATGGTAAAGAGGCTGCAGCTTAAGTCAAATGACCTGTGCAATTTTAAAGTACATATAACGAAATTTCAGCAAGTTTGCTCATGGGTGATACCTAAAAGACAATATCTGACCCATAGGTATCCGACAATGATCGTGACTGCCTAATGAAAATTTACAAGGAAAAATAAAGTTTTGCCAAAAAAAAGATTTATGGTTACTTACAAAAACGTCCTTTATCTGAGCCCAGTCGGTGCCACTGAGGTTGGCAAACAGACAGACAGGGTGTGACATGGAGGCCTCCTCTTGTACCGTGACCTGAATCTTAAAGCCTATCAGCTCGTCCACGGAGGCTGAGGAAAAAAAACAAGATTCTGTAAGCTACAGAGGAACTTCTTTATCCCAAACACTTGTATCTTGAAGACCTGGAAAATGTTGAAGTGATTGAGTAAATGGCAGTTCCATTTTTTTTTTTGGCATGACCTGGTTTTCACAAATCATGGGGTATATGTCAGTTCAATCTTGGTCCCTTCATGTCTAAAATAATGAAGTGTGATTGAATGTGATTGCATTAGGACCAAAATATTAATAATGAAGACAAACCTTTAAAAAGACACAATGTGTCAAAATCATGTCTTTCTTTTAAGTGTACAAGGGATAGGAAGAAGTATTGAACAATATAATTTCAGTCTGGTGCATACAAAAATTATTTTCACTTTTATTTTTCTCCTTAAAATAGAATTTTAAGGTTCTGAAATCTGTAATTTTCTGAAACCTAATACTTTTAGGAATTGAACAAAATTAACAATGATCATGCAAAAAATCTGCATTTGTCAATTTTCCCCTTTGTGGTTCATGAGTGCGCCTTTAAAAAAATATCAAATGATTTCAGCCCAATCTCCCTGGAGGCCATGCTGGACTTTATTAATATATAAACTGTTTCTGAACAACGTAAAAGAATACCTAATTAATAACTAATTAATTAAAAACAACATAATCACTGACAATAAATAGTGATTACATGTAATTGTTACACATATGAAACTAATATCAGATTATTATGCATACAGCAATACCAGCCAAAATTTATGAAAATCCTGTCTTGTTAATAAATACCAAATAACTATCATTTGAAAATAATGTGAAATAAAAATGTTGTGATCTACAGCATTTGATATTGTGAGTATATGTAGCTCGAGAACAGACTATCTTTAATTCCAAATAGGGGTACATACATGTATTTATAAATTAGCAATAGAGTGGATGCCCCCCCCCCAATAAAAATCAATAAATGTCTTGTGCTATTGCTGTACATAATCATTAAGTTCTCAGTCAAATAATTTCAAGCGCATATATAATTACATTTTTTCATTTGAATTCAAATCCATTTTAGTAATATTTAAAGATTTCTTTATTTAATATGTGAATGTATTGCTTGCTGAGAAGCTAACTATATGCTAAGGTCACACAGGCGCATGATGTTCTAAACATTTTTTATGTTCCTCTGTTATTAATGAAAGACCGAAGCATAATGTTACAAAGGAATTTTCATCATGCATCCTACACCTATAAGGCAGGCATGAGATTTTAATTCATATAAGAAACAAATGTTTTATATTGAATGCCCCAGGTTTAACGCATTGAAGATGATTAAATTCTGCTTGAGTCAATCTAAGTAGGTGACAATTGTTAGCAAAAGTACCCATGACTGCTATACTAATGCTGGGGGGAGAACAGATATATTGAATTTTATAAGCACAGCAATTTTAGAAACTCAATTTTATTCCAGGCAATTTAAATTGATATATTGAACAGATGTTCCTTTAAAAAAGTTTAAAAGACATAAAACATGAAGCTTATGTTCTAAAATATCTCAACACTTAAACACAAGTGCATTGATCGAATTTCTAGATTATTAATGCATACACTGGTAATTAATGCTGGTAAATTTATAATGCTTGCCTTATATAGCTGCAATGCTACTTGTATGCTAGCAATGATTTAGTTTTATGCTTTATAATAATCAGACAATGCTGAATGCTCACTGATTATACTGATTTATGCTTGAACGTGCCATCATGCTGACATTAATTGATGCCAATTTTGTTTTTTTAAGGTGGTGCAGTTGCAAATTAGTTTTTAAATCTGATGAGCAATTGTACCAAAAAATCAGTCAGTTGCATGTTCCAAAAATGTTTTGCATAATTTAACATTAAGTTTCATTTTTCATAAAATTCGCAAAACTGAGAAGTGTGCACCCTGTTGATTCACGACTCTGATCAGAAAGAAATAAATTCTGACATTTGAAAGTTAAATTAGTGCTACTGACAATATCAGCAGCTGTCATTTGATGTGACACACACCTTTTACATTAATGTGTGAGACATGAATGTGGTATTCACAGTGTGTAAGACAAAATTTCCTTGGGTTTTCATGATTATCTTATATAATTTGTGATATTTACATTTGCAAATGTTTTCCTTTATATAATGCATATCTATAACTGTATAAATACAGGTATGGGGTCAAGAGGTTATAGATGTGAGAATGGATACACGTTTGACGTAATTTCTCAGTGACGTCATAAAGGGTCGACGCGCGTTCAGTGGATTACATATACTTGCCATTGAGTTTGAAAAATAATGCATTTCACACGCTAAAAGTCACAATCAGGCAAATATAAAGTATGAATAAGTCACAAATGTAAATATAAATAATAAGGTATCATTTTAAAACATCTATCAGGCTATAAATACGGGTTGGTACGAGATTAAATTCAACATAAAGCCCTAATACGGGTTGGTATGAGATTAAATTCATCATTAAGCCCAAAGGGCTTTATGGAATTTAATCTTGTGACCAACCCATATTTATATCCCGATAGAAGTTTTAAAATGATACCTTATTTCTTAAGTAAACACTTTTTAAATGTAGGCAAAAATAAAAAATTTTGCATTTAATAAAAACTTTATTAAGGACTTTTTAAGTGAACTTATTTAAGTGACATGAGCAAAAATTTAAAAGACTCAGAAGAACTGACTTCAGTCCAATTTTGATGACTTCTGAGAAAATTAACTGATCAATGCCCAAATTTTTACTGACTTCTGAGAATATAAACTGCGGCCCAATTTTACTGAAAAAAAAATCAGCTTTACTGACTCTTGAGAAAATCATCTGCGACCCAGTTTTACTGACTTATTACATATAGGGTGGGTGGGTGAGAAAATAAGCGAATTGCGTACAGTTGATCTGACGTTTGTCCCTACTAATCTGGCATGAAAAGAAGCCCGCTGCTGCGCTCAATCATGTGACGTCACTGAGGATACTGAGAAAATCATCTGAGGCCCAATTTCAATGACATCTGAGAAAATTAACTGATCGATGCCAAAATTTTTACTGACTTCTGAGAAAAATTAACTGAGGCCCAATATAACTTTTCTGTAAAAAAAAAAACAACCAATTGAATCCAAGTTTTATTGACTTGAAAAATTCAACTGAAGCCCAATTTTATTGACTTCTGAGAAAATTAACTAAAAACCAATTTAACTGATGTCTGAGAAAAATGACTGAAGATCAGCTAGTTTTACTGACTTTTGAAAAAATCAACTGAAGCAAAATTTTTACTGACTTCTGAAAAATTGACTGAAGCCCAATTTTACTGATTCTAGGAAAATGACTTAGTTAAGACTGATCTTTACTGACTTCTTAGAAATTTGACTGAACCTCAATTTTAATGACTTCTGAAAAAATCAAATGACATATTTAGAAAATTGACTGAAGCCTGATTTTTACTGATTCCATGAAAATGTTTTATAAGCCTGATTTTCCTGAATCTTTGAGAACTAATTGAAGCTTAATTTTACTGACATCTGAAAAAAAATCGAATAAAGGCTGATTTTTACTCACATCTTTGAAATCTGACTGAAGCCTAATTTTACTGACTTCTAATATAAAAAATGTGCTACAGAAATTTACACTACTTTTGGTGACTTGGAAATCACACATATTCTGAAGTACACAAGGCATATTAATCACTGCCAGGAGACAATATTGCAAGAATAATCCGTAAATCCTTTTAATGTGGTCCTTTGATAAAAGCAAATGCTTTCTGAAGAATCTGAGTATAGCAATATAAAAACAAAATTACCTATTTTACAATGACCCCTTGAAAACAAAACGAAAAAAAGATTACAGCTTCAGTATATCAGGCAAAAATGGTATAAATTTCTCCTTATATGTGCAACATTAAGGTGCTTAAGTGCAGCACCCTTTTACATAAGACTATAATCTGACCTTGCAATCTGATTTTTTTTCCTCACCTTTTTTTATTATTAGAATTTTCAGACAGATCCTTGATAAGAAAAGATAGGGTAACACTTTGCAACATATAGGTCTGATAATGAAAATGCTGACTGGTGTGGATTAAAATACAGCCTCTTATTTTAATATTACCCCTCAGTGAAACCAATTACAGAGATCTATACAACTTTTCTTTCCATTTGTCTGTTCCTCTGTGTTTGTTCTATGTCAAGGGGAGATAAACTTTGAGAAATAAAGAAGTGATAAGAGTTCATTTAAGTTTATGTTGTCATCAAATTTTATACTATCAGATTTAACTCTAAAGGAAATTAAAGCATGGACAAAATTTGCTTAAACTTCTCTGTATGCAACTTTGACTAAGGTGTCAGCTCCAAATCTCAAAGATTCAGAAATTACCCCAAAAATGGCCTCCCATGTAGTCTATAATGGAACAGATGAACGGATGCTTGTATCATAGGACTTAGGTGTCATCATTAGAAATTTTATCATGACAACAGACATTTTAATGTTTCAATAACATATACCTGGATCAATTGGAAGAATTTTGCTGTCAATTACAAGACTGATGCTTTGCTGTACTAGTACTATCTGTTCTAGATCACTGCTGTTTCATAATAGACCAATAAAGTGCTGCCAGGTCATAAATGCTACATTTTAATGATGGCTCCAAATCATGTTTTTGAAAATCCTGAGACACAAGAAATCAATATTCTAGCTGCTATCTATTAATCTGGAGATATGTTGAAGTCAGTTGACTGCCCTTGATCTCAAAGTGATATATAAACATTGTCACTTTAACAGCCATATCACTGCACAGCTTATATAAAATAAAATGACCTGTTTGATGATTCAGATTGTATTTTTATCGTTTAAAAAAGTCAGTTTTTGTGTGTTTGTTAGTCCACTCTTGCACAAATAAAACATAGGTAATCAGAGATTACAGAGCTTACCTCAACAAATGTTGCCTTTAAGTAAGGCAAAGTCACACAATTAACCAACAAAAAGTGTACTTTCAAAAATGCAAAATTTATGC